GGCCTCTTCCGCGCGCTGCTGCAGAGCGTGCGCCGGCCGCGGTGCTGCTCCAGGGCGGGGCCCACGGCAGAGTGACCTGCCCCCCTTTTGTACGCCCGGTTTTCCAACTTCTCAGGCTCCCTTCTTGACCCCAGACCCCTGGAAGGGATCCCCTCGACACACGACAGGCCTGCAAGGTATGGGCAGCCTCTAGGGCCTTCTCATTGTCTCCTTCTAGCCCCCTCCCCTCCCACACAAATGAACCTGCTCGCCACAGAGCCCAGACCCGACACCCCACTGTCCCCTCACAGCTCTCAGCTCCACTCCCTCCTGGTCACACTGGGTGACCTCAGGGACCTGCTCAGTACCGCCAGCTCTGAGAGCCGAGGTGGGCTCCTGAGATGTCCAGACTGGTGGGCTGCCAGTTCCGCCAGGTCCCCAGAATGGGAGACACTGTGTGCAAAAGCTCCAAGTGTGCAAGGATTGGTGTGTGAGGCCCCAGTGTACAGGGCTCTGAATGCGAGGCCCCGGGCGTGTGTGAATTTGTGCCCTCCCCAGGGCTGCCCCCATGGCCCAGGCATCTCTTGCATGCTGGTAGTCATCCATCCCCAATTCCTGTCTCCCCGCACCTGGCCCAACCCCCGGCCCTATGTCCATCCTCACAGGACACTCTTTACAATTCCCAGAGGGGGAAGGCGGCTGCAGGAGTGCCCTGGCACTGCTGTTGAGGGTTACAGAAAGGTCAGAGGGTCTCAGACAGGTCTGGGGATAACAGAGGTTACAGAAGGTCTCGGGCCACAGGAAGACTGAGTGACATCTCGTCTTGGGAATTGGGGGCAGAACTCATTCTACAACCACAATTGTCCTTTAAAGGCCTCCCTCTCCAGTCCCTCGTATCCCCTGTGCTGTGAGCCCCACAAGCCCCTGAAGACTACTCCGTACCCTTGTCCCCACTCCTCCGGCCCTGGTTTTTGGCTACAAACTGTCACAGTATACATTGGTAATAAAATTCCCCCCAATACTCATCATCTGTGATTGGTTACAAGCAGGACGGAGCGGAGCAACACAATATATTATTATTTTCAGGGATGGCAGGTGTAGTTTGTGGGGAGACGGTCTCTTCCGAGGTAGACCAGAGGAGTGGGGGCCCATCACAGGTCTGTGGTATCCAGGCCCGCGTTGGTGAAGGCCAGCTCCTGCTGCCGCCCACCGATGCCCGCCTGCCTTCCTGAGAGCACCGTGCTCAGGGGCTCTGTGTCGGGCTCCATCAGGCTGTGCAGGGTCTCCTTCTGTAGGGGGAAAGAGGAGAGGTGTGAAGGGCAGGGGCACGATGGGGTGACATCTCCAGGCCCTAAGGGAGTGGGTGGGCCTTCAAGCACACACAACCAGATGGCTCCTTAGCTGGAGTCCCACCCTGCTCCTCTTGGGGCTTCAGTTCTCTGGCTGTGTCCCAGAGGTGGCTCTGGCCACTGAGGGTCAGATGGACTCAAGTGAAGGGCTGGACATGGGGGGACTACTCTGGCCTGTGCCCCATCCACAGACACAGCAGCACTCTGGTGTTCTGCCATCTTAAATAATACCAGGCCCCGGGTCTTGTGTCAAGGAGCCAGTCCAGCACAGTTCCTGTTACCTGCACCCCATGACAGGCACCGTGCTGGGGGTGCAGTCTATCCATTACCCGAAGTACCCACAGGAATCCCCTGAGGGAGGAGTTGTGTGCCCCATTTTACAGATGTGGAAACTGAAGCTTGGAGGGCTCTCATGGCCAGGGATGGGCAGAGCAGGGTTTGGGCCGCTGGTCTTGCTGGCCCTAAAGTTTGTCCCCAGCACAACACTGCCTCTGGTTCAATTTGACATCTCCTCCTGCCAGTGCAACCAGGGCCTCACCCTACTCATTGCCGTGTGCACTCACATCGCCCTGCCTTTTCTTCCCCCTCTTCCTGACATGCTGCGCACACACGCACACACACACACACACAGCTAATCACACACTTCACAGGTGAACCCTTCAGTAGGCCTAACAGCCCCCAGGCTCAGCTGCTCCACAGCAGAGACAACACAGGGTAGAGCCCACCACCAACAGCACCATACCTAGGGCCCTCCAAGGGCGTTTTCAGACTGGGGCTATTCTGGTCCCTGGTAAACAGTGGAACATCTGAGGGATCCCAGGTCAGGCTGAACACTCTCCTTGTGCGCCCTAGAGCCCTTGCCACTAACCCCCCATAGGAGCTGTTGGCAAGGTGCAGCCCAGGAAAATGCTACCTCGCCCTGGAGACAGAAGACCTGGGTTCTAGTCTGCACTTGCCTTGCAAGTTTTCTGACCTTGGGCAAGTCAGCACCCCATTGCCAGGGCCCCTGACTTCACTCCCCTCTGGGGGGTGAGCTTTGGCCTCTGGCAGGAGCCAGCTGCCTGACCACCAGCTCTGGCAGACAAGACTGTTTCCTTCTGCCTCGGTTACCCCCAAACATGTCCATTGGAGTTTTCACCTCAAACCATCTTCAACCAGAGATGAGCTGTTTACCCAGAGACCTCCACCACTGCCTGGTGGCCTGGATTGCCATCTATGACCTCCATCCTTGGGATCCCGTTAGGAGGCCTCCATGTTACAGCCAGGTCCCTGTGCAACATTCTGGTATTTTAATGCCCACGAGAGGCTTTAGTTGACCAAGTCCTTTCGCATAAGGCATCCTCAAGGAAAATTAAGTACTGAAGGAAGGGTGGGGACCTCCAGAGAGCAGGGCATAGCTGAGGGCAGGGGATACCTAACCCCCATGTGCGCGCGCGCACACACACACACACACACACACACACACACACACAGCCACAGACTATTAAAGCTCAGTGGGCCTTAGAGCTTCTACTCCAGTGGTGGTTCTCAAAGTGGGAAGGACAGGTGGTAGTTCCTCCCAGTTCTGGCATCCCATCTCTCCAAGGAGAGGACCCACCACCCACCCCTCTCGTGCTTCTCAATCCTGCCTGCACAGGAGAACCCCCAGGAGCTATAACAACACCTTCATGTCAGGCCCACCTCAGCCATCAGATCAGAATCTCTGAGCTGTGACCTAGTATTTCTAAAGAGCTCCCCATATGAGTCCAAGCAGCAGCCCAGGTGTGTGAACTCTTGAGCTAATAGAACCAGCTAATCTATTGAACAAATGAAGGTACTGTTGTTTACTTGAGCCTTTCTCTCCTTTGCTAGGTTATACTCACCTCCAGACCTCTTCTCCCACCCTGCCAGCTTTTATGTAAGGGATATAAAGGCAGGGAACCAGGTATTTTAGCCCTTGCTTTGTGCCAGGTGGTTTTTATACCCACTCTTACTCCATCCTCATAACAGCCCTGCATGGTTAGTGTTCTGATCCCCACTTACAGGTGATAAAACAAAACCAGAGGGAGAAGTCACCCACACAGGGTCACAGTGAACAGTAGAGGAGCAAGGATTGGACCCCACTGCAAAGCCATAAGGTGTCCCAGGGCCTGCAGCATCCATGCCCAAGTCAGCAGCAGGCCCTTCAGCTCTATCCTGAACCCCACCCCCCTTCAGAGAAGGACCCCAAGTCAGAATCCCCAGGCAACAACTCATCCCCCATCTTGCCTTGGTTTCCTGTGTGTTCTTGTCCACGTCCACAGAGTTGTCATCCAGGGAGTTGAGGCTGTGGAGGAGATGATGGAATTCAGATAATTGGCAGGCCCAGTCCTCCCTATCTGTGGCCAAGAACCACCACTGCCTCTACCACCTTCCCTACCATACCAGCACCAGCACTACCATCATCACCATTTCTACCACCACCATCACAATCACCACAACCACCTCTGTCACCACCACCATCATCATCGCTACCAGCTCCACCACCATCACCACCAGCTCCACCACCAGCACCATCACTGCCACCACCAACCAGCATGGCTGTGAGTGGCACTGCTCACCTGAGATTGTCCAGGTCGCTGGTGGAAGATTGGGACTCAAAGCCCAGGTCCTTAGTGGGGAGGTTCAGCATGGGATTGGCCCTGGAGAGAAGGCCTCGTCAAGCAGCCGTGTGCTTCAGTTACCCCGTAGGTCCTCTTACCCATCCTTCGAGCCCCACTCACCGCTCAGTGGTGTACATGTTAGTCCCAGGGATGGCAGAGGTTGAGGGCATCACACCTGCTGCTGTTTTCCGGGCCTCCTTGGCAGCTTTTATAGCCCGAAGCTTCCGCTGGTAGCTGTGGGGAACCAGAAAAGGAGTCGCTACTTTCCCTGCACACCCACTGTGTGCCCAGTGCAGGCCCTAGGAGTGTGACTTTACAATGACTCTGGCAGGTAAGAGTATTCGCTCCATTTTGCAGAGTACAAGTAATAGCCAGAGGAGGGAAAGGATTTGACAAAGGCCACACTGTTGACTAGTAGCAAGGCCTAAAATCAAATCCAGATGTGGCTGCTGACTGCAGAGGTATTGGAAAAGGTAAAGGAAACAACATTTATTAAATGCATTTTATATGCCACACATCTTGCTGGGTGTGAGATGTACATTGTTTCCTTGAGGGCTTTGAGGAATCTAGTGTCATGCCCATTCTGCAGATAAGTAAACTGAGGCTCAGGGAAGGGAGATGACCTACCGAAGATGTCACAACAGGTTAATGGGGATTTAATACAGATATACCTGATGCCTAAACCCAAACTCTTTTTAACCCCTCCCTTCCAATGGCCCGGCGGGGGGGGGAGGGGGGG